GTTGTCACTGCTGAACAATGCCAGGCAGGATGTCCATGTGTGTCTGTGTGTGTGTGTGTGTGTGTCCTGAGGACAAGACAAAACATGTTCACTTCGAATCTGATGCGTCATCTAATCACTATGAGTCGTCTGCTACGCTGTAAACCAATCTGTGCGGGTTTGTTTGTGTGTGTCTGTCTGTCTTTGCGTGTGCATGTGAGAGAGAGAGAGGCAATCATACACATTCAGCTGCAGCAGCCCGAAAATAAAAACCAAAGTTTCAAAAAGAAAACTTGTAAAAAATAAATAAATAAAAAAAAAAAGTTAAATGTGAGACATTAAAGTAAAAACAGTAAAACTGTTCTTTAATCTAACATGGACGTCACAGAGGTAACAAACAGAGTTAAGTTCAGCCAATCACAGGGCTGGCTTAAAAAAGGTGCTGCTGACCTTTGACCTCATGGCTGCAAATGTGGCATCACTGCTGCAGTCTCAGAGGAATGAATAAATCAAATGCACCCTCTTTCTGCAGCTCCACTGACTGGACTAATTTACCCTGAGTGCTACAACACACACACACACACACACACACAAACACACACACACACACAATGCAACGATGGAGCAGTAGTCGCTGGCCAACTGTGCCGAGTATCAAACAGGCCTTCATTGGAAGATGGACAGGACTGTGTGTGTGTGTGTGTGTGTGTGTGTGTGTGTGTGTGTGTGTGTGTGTGTGTCACATCAGAAGGATGGATGAGTCACAGCAATGTGTGATTCAAAAAAAAAAGGAAAGAAAAGAAAAGGAAAAAAATGTCTAAAAGTTGTTCATTATTTACCAAAATAAATAAATAACTCATCTGAAAAATCTGTGAAATTTCCCCAAAATATCTAAATCTAAAAATGTAGGTCAAAAACATTCACAGCATGAAAAAAAAATATAACATGAACCTAATCTAATTTTAAAAAAATCACATATTTTCTTCATCGAAACTTAAATATATTACTAAAATATGAAAAATATGTAAAATATGTAAAATGTGCCACAATAGAACATCGCTGAAGAGAGTGTGAATGAATTTTATGTTTGAGATGATTTTGTTTGGAGAGCTAAAGCTCCTGAAGGTCCATAAATTCAACGATGACACAGTTGTGACATTCAAACCTGATCACTCAGTTATTAACAGCAAGGCAAGAAAGTGAAACTATACGCACATTTAATTCATGCCAAACGCGTCAACGTTTAAAAATATTACTAAAAGATAAAAAAGAAAATAAACCAATCTAAAATAGTTTTTAGTGCAACTAAAATAAGACCAGAAGAAGAAGAAGATGTGTGTTGTGTGTCAGAGTGAAGTGTGTCAGTGGTTCAAACCGTGTGTGTGTGTTTGTGTGAGCGTGTATTGATATCTTTGTGGGGACCAAAAATTGGAAGTTTACTATACTTGTGGGGACCAGGATTTTGGTCCCCACAAGTTTCAAGGCATTTTTGAGACTCAAAATGTGGTTTTAGTGACAGGGCGACATTTGGCTATGGTTAGGTTTAGGGTAAGGGGTTAGGGAAAGCATCATGTCAGTTAGATGTTCCCACAGGGTTTGAATACCCGGCGTGTGTGTGTGTGTGTGTGTGTGTGTGTGTGTGTGTGTTTGTTTGTTCAGATTCAGGGAAAAAACTGAAACAGATCAGAGACGTTGAAGCTGAACAGACGGATCTGAACATGTCTGACTCTCTGATACTACAAGTGTCACATACACGCACACATAAACAAACACACACACACACACTCTTCTCCTCAATTCAAATCAAAGTGAAAGTACATGAAAGCGCAGCTGCACACATTTAAAGGATCGCTCCGTGTTTTCTCAGCCGGCCCGAGGCGTCAGCGGCTGTCGGAGCCGAGGTCACGCTCACTGTCAGTGCTTGTGAGCTGACTGCAAACACTTAGAGGGATTTTAAATTCTTCTCTGAGGCTGAAAGGAAACAGGAACGAAAGGCGGGATAAAGGTGGTGGGTTTAGCTGGGGGTGGAGGCACCGCATCAAATTCTGCTTAAGGCCCCACTAACTGCAAACTGTCCACGTCAGACACAGAAACACCAAAAACTGATGTTTACACGAAAACTGAGTGCAAAGTGAAGGAACCGAAAGCTGCAGTTCCTCTACTGTCCACCGGAGGCTCCAGCAGTGAGTCAGTCCCCATGGTTAGGATTTAAAATGTTCGATTTCTTTTACTAAAATAAGTGGTTATAATCATTTTCATACATTTACTGCAAATGTGCTCATAATGAGTTGGCACTCAGTCTTCTGAAGGTCGTAAGCTTTGTTCAGTGTGACTGTCCGGACTGATGTATCCAGGGGTGCACATAAGTGGTCCGCAGGTGCGCATTCGCTGTCAAAATAAAAGACGCGCACCGGATAAGCAGTTGCAACGCGCGTTGGCATACATAAGATTTTCTGGAGGAGGACAGACATTTGTTTAGAACTCTTAAAGATGTCGAAGAAGTAAGCTCCTTTAAGCAATTACTTTGGTGTTCCTCCACCTCCAAAGAAATGTCAGAAGGAGTCCGAACCACAAAAGAAGCGCATATTCTCGGAAAAGTGGTTGCAGGAGGTGAGCTGGCTTCAAACAAATGATGAACGCACAGAGATGTGGTGCAGAATGTGCAAAAATAAACATGTTTACAGCCTGACACACAGACTGGTTGGTCTCTGTAGATAATTGAATCCTTCATAACACCTGCACAGGTGAGAATCTATTTTATAACTCACATTTTTCATTTATAGTAAGTTTGCGGTATTAGGGCCGTGAACTCTTTGACTGACTATCAGCTGTTTAAATCACCAGATATGTCTGCTGATTGTTCATTTTGAGATTAAAGTTGTTGTTTCCTCCAAAAGTCCTGATGTAGACGAGTTTGTAGACGACTTTATGTCTTGTGATACGACAAACATTTTCTATACTGGACGAGGGTGTAACCAGCACTATCCTTGCATCAATCCAGTGTGAGCTCTTTCATTTTGCACGAATCCGTCCAGCTGTGGTTCTAACTTCTGACCAGATGCCAAGTTCTGCACCAGCGTCCTATCACCACACCGTGCTTATGAGCTAAAACAGAAATAACAAGGAGAACACCCGTGGTGTTCACGAAAGCAGACGATCCATGACGAGCAAAACTACGACTGCTTCCCTTAGTCTCACGCCCACCCACCAGTGTGCGCCGTGATAAAAAGCAAGCGTACAGATGCTGAGCTTCCAGCTGTTTGGAAAACTGCTGCACTGTATCACAAACCAAGCGCCCCCTTTTACCAAAGAGGGTCTCACGCCAGAGAAAAGATCATGTGAGACCAATCGCAAACTGAGCACTCCTTTCACAGCAGATACTGATCTCAAACTCCACCCCTCTTGCAGGCTGGAGGGAGTTTCGATCCAAGCGCTCCTGTGGACCCACAGCTGCAGCTGACAGCTGAGCCTGCAGAGCTCCTGGGAGCAAACACCCACAGGTTAATAACTACGTGCACACACACACACACAGACACACACACACACACCAGGCCTGCATGTGTGTGTTAATCTCCGCTTTGTTTTTGTCCCTTTTTTTTTTAAACAAACCCCTAGATCAGTCTACTCACCCCCAGTATAAACCAAACGCACCTCTTCACAAACATGCCATCACCTCAGCTCACAGCGCTCCTTCCTCTGACCTCTGAACCAGCTGTACTTCCACTTCACCTACCACCACCCACCTTTCACTCTCTCTTTCTCTCTTCTAGCACATGATGGACAACAAACCAAGCGCTCTTTTAACTTGAGGCTCGACTCTGGCAGACTTTCAGTCCAAACTTTCATCATCACCGTCACATTTTTCTGCTCCTGCACAAATAAACACAGCATCAGTGTAACCACAACTAAATCAAACCAACCCCACCTCTCATTTCCACATCAGATAGAAAACAAGCGCTCCTTTCCAGCATCCAAAGCTCTGTTCTTCCTCATTCTGAAGCTGTCAGATGGCAGGTGTGAGTAGTTGTTTTCCACAAAGTGCAAGGCGGGGCTGAAACAAAATCAAACCAACCCTCCACTGTCCTCCACCTGGAAGCTCATCTCTCAGCTGAGGGATAAATCAATCAATCAAGCGCTCCCTTCATTATCTCTTCCTTTAACCTCGACGTTCAGGAAAGATAAAGCTGAAACTAAATCAAACCAACCTCTACCGCAGTGCCCTACTACACCTGTATGTGGTGTATGCATGCACCCCATGTAACCTGAATGAAACAAACCCCCTCTTTTCCTCCATCTCCAACCTGAGCTGGCATGTGGTGCATAGGAAACCAAGCGCTCCTTTCCTTATGCTCTGGAGTTTCCTTCACCTGCAAAGCATCCTCTCTGAAACACAGAGAGGGGTTGCAACAAAAATCAAACCTACCCCTTCTACTCTCCCCTCTTTTTCTACCTCTGGCACGTGGCACATCACAAACCAAGCGCCCCCTTAGATCCTATAGGTCGCCTTCACATTTTTCAAAATTGAAAGTACAACAAAATCAAAGTCTCTGAAACATTATTCACGCCCCGCCCCCTCCCCGCCCCCGTCTTCTTATAGCAAACCGAGCGCCCCCTTCTACCTCTCCTAATGAAAAAGCCCCCCACACACACACACACACCCACCAACCATCATTTCATCCTGGACCCGGACTCCCCTGCTTGGCGGGGAGGCACAAGCGCTCCCCTCATTGCCCTCACGCTTTCTGCAACAAAATCCCCCCCTCTCCCCCCTCCCCGGGCCCTCCCCTCTCGTGGACCCTCTCCTCTTGCAGCTGGCACGTGATGCGTCTCAAACCGAGCGCTCCCTGCACCTCCAGCCTCGCATCAGCACACCATCATGCGTTTTTTTCCTGCAACATCCAAAACCAAACGACCCCCCGCCTCCCCTCCACTCTCTCTCCCCCTAAACAAACACGTCATCAACACACACGTGCACGCGCGCACACACGCAGATGCGCACACCGGGACACACCGGTTCTTACCTCTGGAGCTGCTGAAGGCGGTGTACCAGGACAGGGAGACCAGCCCGCACAGCCCGAACAACAAGACCGTCAGGAAGGAGACATTTCGGAGCCTCATCTCCGGAGCCCCGGGAGCATGTCCGCACCGAGAGGGGGGAGCAGGGCAGCGCGTGGATGGAGGGAAAGGGGGAGGCAGGCGGAGACAGGTAGACGGAGAGAGCCACAGAGACGGAGGGAGACGGAGAGACGGGCGGAGCTGTTGCTGTTTGAGCAGCAGCGGAGAGACTGAGGAGAGGGAGAGAGAGAGAGGGAGGGAGGGAGAGAGGGGGAGGAGACAACCAGGTAGAGAGACGTGAGGAGAGAGAGGGAGTCAGAGGTCTGAATTTCTCCGGAGCTCGGAGTTATTCCGGTGGTTTCCTCACAGGCAGAATCATCGTAAACACGTCGGGTTGCTTCATCGTGTCTTACGTAATGACTCATGTAACGGATTGAAAGGGAGTTTCCACCCGGCGTTACTTCAAAGCGCCGGCGTCCCGGGGAGAGGCTCAGAGTTCAGCTTTATTCACTAAAACACGACCTCAGGCCCCTGAAAATGACTCCGGCAGTGACCTGTGAGCAAGGGCTTGGCAACGGCGGGGAGGAAGAACTCCCCGTTAACAGGAATCAGCCCAACACAAAACAAATGATCATCAATTGAGTTAAAAAAACAAACAAAAACAAATCCTCATGCATCACTGAGCCGTTAGCAGCTTTACTGAAGAGCGTTAGAAAGTTAATGTAGGTTTTATTTTATTTCATTTGGACTTTTTGTCTTTTATTCAGTTTCATTGAGTTTCCAGAATGGATTTTTTTTTTTGTCTCAGTTTAGTTTTGATCATTTGAAAATGCTTCTTTTCATTTTATTTATTTATTTATTATGATTGTGTTTTGTTTTTTTCATTAGGGACGTCCATCAAGGCAAGCTGAAATAACATTATTACTCAATAATAATAATAATAATAATGGATTGGATTTATATAGCGCTTTTCAAGGCACCCAAAGCGCTTTACAATGCCACTATTCAGGATGTTTCCTCCATTTTGTTTTCAAAGTTCACAAAATCATTTCATTTATATTCGATTTTATTAAAAGTCCAGTTTTTATTTGTTTTTCAGTTCAGGGGTGTCCAACAGCCACACTGAAGCTGTTCAGTAATAGATTTTTATTTATTTATTTTAATAAAATGAAAATTCCCGTTTTTTTCACTGCTAATTAGAACTTTTTTTTTTATTGTTCCAAAAAAAAAAAAAAGAATTTCGTGTGAATTAACAGAAACTTTTTGTGTTATAATTAGAGGACAGTCTGGGCAATGAGCTGCTAGAATTTTCTCTAGAAATTTTACACATTTCTTTTTTATAAAATTAAAGGGAAACAGTCGTGCTGGAAAAACTGAGACATGTTGTTGAAATTGGCTTCTTTTTAAGATGTGGATCTCGTGCATTAAATTAAATTAAGTAGTTAAACTTCTTCACAGTGACAGAAAGTGAGGTTTTATTTAGTGGCCCATGTATGGTCAAAGGGTTTGACGTCCCTGTTTTAGGTAACTAAAATGTTTTTTCACATTTAGTTTTAGCCAACAGTCATAACTTTGGTTCAGGGTCACCTGATCCAGCCCTAACTATATGCTTTAGCAAAAAGGAAAGTTTGAAACCTAATCTTAAAATTAGAGATAGTGTCTGTCTCCTGAATCCAAACTGGAAGCTGGTTCCACAGAAGAGGGGCCTGAAAACTGAAGGCTCTGCCTCCCACTTTGAAATACTCTAGGAACAACAAGCAAGCCTGCAGCAACCATCAGCTGATGGTCTTTTTCATTTCCAGCCAACATATTTCTGAAGTTAAAGTTCCCAGCAAACATGGCTGAAACATTACCCTTCTCTCTTGAGTCAAAGCTCGCCGCAGTGCGACGGTAGAAACCTCAGTATAAACAGATGAAGCCGAGCGGCCCGGTCACACAGCTCCTCACAAAACAATCATCTCCCCATTAAAGCTTTAAGATCTCTGTTTCAAGACAGACCGGGCAGAGAGGGCAGCAGAGGTTACAACAAACACAACAGAACAAGTAAAGCTAGAATTAAACTGATGCTCAGTGCAGCGTATGGTCAGAGCATCCTTCTGGATGAAATTTTATCGATTAAAACAAAATGAAATCCAGAAAAGATTCTCACCTGGCAGAAAAGACAAAAGTACTCCCCACAAGGACATCTCAGAGCCCTGACCTCTCTCTCCGAGTTCATTTATTATCTCACTGAGCACGCTGCCCTGCGTATTGATTCAGCTGCACCGGGGCTTCATAACGCTGAGCTGGGGGCAGAGAGGAAACTCAGCATGCAGCAGAATTTATACGCAAGAAAACACAAGCAGATTCAAGCTGTTTATAACAGTGCATCCTAACGCTCCGACAGCCATTACTCAGACACACACTGAAACTCCATCCAAGCCCACTTTCTTCTGATTGGTCGGCTTCAGGAAGCCTGCTGAGGGGTGTGTCTATACTTTTTGTGCTGCGTGCATTTATCAGACGTCCATTCAGCTTATTATGGGAAAGACAGACGCAAGCCTCATCAATCACTGAGGTGTTACAGGTGGATGTTTGGTCACAGGTGCAGATTACTTCACAATAAAAGCATTACTTAGTGAGGAAAATTGTGAGGGTTAGGCCTGTTTTTCCTTATTAATCGCTCATTTTTGAACCCCAAAAGCATGGGTTTTGACCAAAACAAGGCACAGGAGGCACACAAGGAAGAGGAAAGAAGGGAGACAAAGGCAGCAGGAGGATGAGAACGTAGAAATACAACAAAGAACACAAGTTTATTCAGAACATGAACCAAATGTCCAATAAAAAAACTTGATAGTCTGAGACCAGAGTCGATATCAGGTTGATTATTTTCTCTGTGAAGCAGAAATGTTTCATTTGCTGTTTTTTGTGGTTTTTTTAGTATGCAAAAAGGTTTAATCTGGAGCTGAAGGTGTGCTAAAAGACAACTGAGCTGCTACGACCAGGAACAGGTGAAAGCAGATTGGATCCCCAGCCACAGAGATGTAAACACATCCCGATATCACGGAGAACTGTAAACCTTTTATACTCATTCATGTCTGGAAAACAGACATGAAACAGAACGAACCACATCTCTGTGTGAGGACAGACTCAGTTGGGAAAATGGTAAATGAGAAGAATTGTGAATAACTGATGAAAAACCATGAGAGTTATCCTTTCAAAGTAAAACTGTGAGCTTCAGTGCAGGTGAAGCACCATCCTGGTTCAATCCTGGTTTAATCTCAGTTTAATGTCAACTTAATCCTGGTTTTCAGTGTTTCAAAGGTGGTACATCGCAATAGTAACTAATGCTGCAGGCCTAACCTGCTCTGGAACAGGTTATGTTCACGATAAAACTCACCAACTACAGAAGCTGTTTCCTGGAAAATAACCAGGAAGGCACTGACTGGTTCTCTGATGGGTTTTGAGAGATTCTTAGATCTTTTATTCTTTGTCCTTTCCTTTTGGCTGGCTCCGAACAAATTTAAAGTCAGTGAACTGCTCTCTAAACCTGTACACAGAGATCTGAGGCTAACATAGAGCCTCTACTGTAAGCCTTGCAGCTGAGCCTGGTGTGAATTCAGTGTTTTAAATACCATCAGGCTGTTGGAATAAGGCTGACACTGTCTTACAGAAACACATCGGGTCTGACTTCAAACCTGAGTCACACTGCTTGTATTTGTCAGACTCTGATAAGAACTTCAGGAATCATCGTGTAACGTTGTTCTGTGTAAAGACAAAGATCTTCGGTTATTCTTTGCAGTTAGGCTTGAACCCCATGATATCGAGTGAGATTTGCTGGGTTTCGCTTTTTTTAAGTTTCTACCTGCCCCACTGCAGAGCACCTGTCATCCATCAGAGCCTTTTTCTGGGTCTGCTCACCTATAAAGTCAGCACTTTCATGGCTATGTGGAAAAGAGTCTCCATCGGATGGCGTACAGGTGCTGTACAGGAGGATGTGTGAGCAGGAAAGAGATGATTAGAGAGATGTTAGAATGAACTATGGATGCAGTCAGAGCATGCTCACTGTACAGAAAGGGACTCCTGGTTTGGGTTCGGATTTGTTAATCTGCAGCTCCCCCTGGTGGTCAGGATTGTTACCCATGAAGGATTTTATTTTACTCATATTTTTTATTTAATCATTCAAACATATAAAGAACGCTCCAACAAAGCAAACTACACATTAACTTACAGGCTGTAATTTAATGTGTAGTTTGCAGTTTTTAGCATTTACTATGCTAAAAACTGCGTCTGAGGCCTGCAGATGGTTATATGCAGACAGATGTGTTGAGTGTCATCAGGTTTTTTTTTGCTGAAGTTTCCCACGATCGCAGTGCTGCTCGGTCAGCAACGCTGGGCTGAAACCTCGACGCACAGCAACAATTCTAATGGTGATTTAACCGAACACGCCTCCAGTTAGTTTATGAAATCCATCTAAGCGAAGAAGTGGGAAGAAAGAACTCTTCATAGGTAACACAAATGACACAGGAAACGTCTGGAACATTTGTTCTTCCTTTAACATCTCAGGACTTTTTTCTAACCTCTTTAGGGCCATCAGATCACCGGTGAGCCCCTCAGAGGTCAGGGAGGGGTTTGATTACTGTGTCACACTGACATCTAGCGGTCAAAGATAGCAAGTATATTTCAGAGCGTTTATTTTACTTTGGTTCAACCCTCATCTGACTCATTCCATCCCTCCATTCTTCACTGGCACACTTGGGTGATAGGTACAGGTGTCCCATATGCTTGATTTCTGGGTCATGGTGAAAGCTCAGAGGCTGACCATGAATTCTGGAGCCAGGACCATTTAATGTCATTTAGAGTTAACACCTCGAATGAAAAGTGCTCCAGAGTGAGGTTTAAAACTCACTTTTACTTCAGGTGTGCAGTAAATGACAGTGAATAACAGCCTCACAGTCCCTGGGTCTGATGTTAACGAACTTGTATAAATGTTATGCAACAGTAAAAACACTGCCTCCATGTTTAGTCACTTGTCATGCACAGACAACCTTTTCTTATAAATGTATTTAGGTGGAAAGAGCTGATGGGGGAAAATGTCTGGTTGAACAAATTGACAATAATAAGATTAAACATTGTCCTCGTGTCTTTTTAAAGCAGTGCCTTGCCTGCTGTCATTTGGAATCTTGCATTTGTTCTACAAAACATGAGAATTTGCTGAGAGCAAAGAGAAGGACAGATGAACACAGACAGAGATTCTCAGATGTATTTGTGAGATTACTAAGATGTTGGCTTCTTTTACAAATGAACTGAATTTAATTAAACCACCTTAAGCTTAAAGAGAGAATCTCTCACCAACTTTTAAATGTGAAAATGGTCTACAACCAGCTCAGAATATTTAACTATACGT